TGCGAACCAGGAGGCACAACCGGTACCACACATCTCTCAAGCACGATTGTGGGGAGTTGCCTGGAACTAGTGTCACTCACCCTTTGGTCGGTGCCACAATCAACCACCAGTCATCTTCCACACCAGCTTGTGGGAGTCGACCAGCCACTTGTCCTTGCGAGTCACTGCGACCAACAACCAGCTGCCCAATGCCCCCCTTGGTTGCTCCATGCTAGCTGCACACCATTTGCCCTAGCTGGTGCTCCCAATGCATCACTGGTGATGGGGAGATTACAGAGCTGCCTACCTTCAGCTCCAGTAGTCACCCAGCTTCTACATTGGCTTATGGGCAGGCTAGTACTGTAGCCAACAGCAACAACGATTCTAGCTGGACGATTCCACCATCCCAGGAAATCCCGCATGTAATCAACCCAATGGCTGTCCCTTCCAAGCAGGACCGCACGTCCTTTGGTAGACCCACGACAACCAACCCATGTTGGATGCCCCACGGTTTGCCCATCAAGGCGACACACAAGGCAACCAACGCGGTTATAGCAGAGCCACCTCTCTTTGGTACTCCCAGTGCCACCAGGCTCGTGCCAAACGAGAGGATCCCTTTGCAAGCAAGTGCACACCCAAAGCAGGATGCTTTCAAGCAAACAGCTTCCAGGGCAGGTGCAACAATCAACCTTGGCTGGAGATCCAAGTGTCCACCATGTCGGACGACACCAAGGATTCCCAGCTTGGTCCATCCCGGACCACCTCTCTTTGGTACTCCCAGTGCCACTAGGCTTGTGCCAAATGAGAGGATCCCTATGGCAGCAATGCCACCCAGTCGACCATCCCTTTGTCGACAACCACCACCACTGTCTGACAGCAGCAACAATGTCACACCACAGGATGAGTCCAAGGTTCGAACCACCATGGTCTCAGTCTCCCATGTCTCCAAGGCAATGGGGAGTCCTCAAGTGTTTGGCATGTGGTTCCATCATGTGTTTGCTTCCATGATGGCCCACAGGATTGGATCCCTCCAGTCCGTGCTGCTAGCACCGTCCCTGGATTTTCGGACGGGCAACTAGACTACGTCCCTGTCTGGTACAGCCCATCCATCCCATCCGTCAAGGGACATGATTGCGGGGCAAGAAGGCCGCTCCACTGAGAGCTTGCCACCGCTGAATTCGGCCTGTGGCAAAGCCACGAATATTTGTCTACATATGAAGAAAACAAACAACAGCTATGATAGCAACCAGCACCGCCGACACCTACCCAGTCTGGCCATGCTGATGAAGCAGGCAACTCCTTTGCCAACCTTTGGTCCAGCAACCGACCAACCATGCAAGTCCCTCCACTTGTGAGATCTCCAATCTCACATGTGTTCCACTAGCAGCCGATGCTGAGTGGCCCATGAATGTTCCGTTCATGGGGAGAGTATGTATTGTAGTTAGTTAGTAACTAATCGTATATCGTGACATACCCATGAGAGCGGATCCATACGCACTCGTGGGGAGCGATAACTTTTAGGAGCGAGAGCTCTGGATCCCGTCAGAGATAGCTCCAACAGCTATGCTGGCCTACAGCTCCAGCATGCACAGTTGGCTTATCTCCAGCAAGAAAGGATCGTCCTTTTACCATAGTTAAGAAAATAGTACGAAAGATTGAGACCAATCCTGATTAGCTTGTAGCCCCATTGATACCGCAGCAGTTGATACCCATCCTGTTGAGGCCGGGCAGAAGCAGTAGGAGGTAGCAGATAGTACTGTTCCCAGACTGCCACTGCACGATTGAATAACGAAGGCCCCCAGCTCCTGAGGTGAGCTGGCCCAAAAGGGTCCAGCAGAGCTCTGCTGGCCCTCCTGTCTGACTGACAGGGCCAAGTCCTTGGTCTGGTGCCTACTGGAGGTGTTGGAACACTCCTGAGGCACGACAAGGCTCCCTGAACTGCCTGACTACCGCTGTCCCTGAGGAAGGGTTTCAGCGAGACCCAGTCCACTACTTGAGTATTGGAACTGAACCTTCCAGAAACTTATTGCCTCTTCTGTGGCTGCATCTGCTGCCACCCACTCTTCCCATCATGATAAGCACAAGCACAAGTGAGAACAACCCACCGGGTAGCAGCAGGATAGTGTGATGAACATTGTGCCAGACCGAGCCAGTGTGGCAGCTGTAGAGCTCTTGGAATAATAGGTGTGAACCACACACAACAAGATGGGCACGCCCTTTGGCAAATGGCAACATAAATGAACGAGGCGGCCAAGTTGAAAAAGATTCGCAACCACAAGTCAGCTGATGATGCCCATAGTTACTCTAATGCATATGACCTTGTACAAGCAAGCACTTCAAGTGTGTACGGTACTGCGACCCTGTATATGATCAATGTTGAGTATAAGCGGCACATCATCCCAACCACCAGATTGTCAACAGCCATGGCACTGCCCCACAGGATACACGTCGTACAATGCCCCCAAGAGAGAGAATTCTGGGTTACCCACGAAAAAGTCTCTTTTCGGAAAGCTAGTGTTCTTGAGACATTCGAGAATTGAAGAATTATATGCAGTAATTTAAATAATGAGACATTGTGAGACATTGTTAGAATTCGTGAGACATGAGACATAAATATGAGACATTGTGAGACATAGTGAGACATGGATTGACTTAAAGATAAGACAGATACTTTCTTGTGATGACACACAAAAGCTTTTTAAATAAATGAGACATGAGACAGAAGGCTTCTCGAAAAATGAGACATTGTGAGACATGAGACATAAACATTAGACATTGTACCACAAAATGAGACATTGTGAGACTTAGAGCATAATTTTATATCCATGTCTCACTATTTATTAATCCAAATCTTGGGGAGCTCCCACAAATCCGCGCGTAACCCTGAGAAGCAATGGAGGGGATCCAAGCGGCTCTTGTGGGTTCCGAGCTCATTCGTGGATCCAAAATCGCTTGGAACTTGTTTTCCGACCACTCCCTCCTGACCCCTCTCCTTCTCATAAACTCTGAACTAGATATAGCAGCATCATGCCACCTTCTACCGCACCATTCGATCTGAACAAGCTCCATGAAGCCACTGCGAACGCACCGCCGCCTCCCGAGCCGATTGTGGTTACGGCTACGGATGGTATTGAGTTGGCGGTCCGCATTTACCGTCCTCCTGCTGCGCCCAAGGGAATCTTGGTCTTTTATCACGGTGGCGGAGCCCATTCGGCAGCGGGATATCATTTGATGGCCCAGAAACTCGCCACGGACCATGACATTCAAGTGTACACACCCGATTTGAGAGGTCATGGTGAATCGGGAGGACCCCGTGGAGATGCTCCGTCGCCACAACAGGTCTATCAGGATGTGGATTCCGTGCTAGAGTTGGTGGGTCGTCAAGAAGAAAGCACGTTGCCCCTCTTTTTGGGTGGACACTCGTCGGGTGCTGGACTGGTGATCCAATATGCCACACAATCGACAAAACAACAACAACAGGACAACAACATTAAAGGCTATCTATTGCTGTCACCCCAGTTGGGCCCCAATGCCGGAGTTGCCAACGATGGTACTGCTTCCTCCTCCTTTGCGAAGGTCTCCGTGCTGCCATTCATCTTGAATGGCATATTTGGTGTCATGGGCCACTACCCCTCGGTTCGTTTTCAGTATTCGGACCAGGAACTTGCCGATCCCCGCATGGTGTCCTTCAATACGGTCCACATGGCCAATGCCATTAGCCCCATGGAACCAGCGAAACAATTGGAGCAAATGACAAAAGATTGTCCTACAATTTTATGGATGGGAGAACGCGACGAGCTGTTTGTGGCCTCCAAGGTGCAGTCCTTGTACGCACCCACGGTGATTGTACCGGAAGCCACCCATTTGGGCATTCTGGTGGTCGCTCACAAGCTGATGGGACCCTGGATGGAACAGCAAATGATGGAGTGAAAAGGAGCAGAGTAAAAGGTTTTGATTGTGTTATTATGAATTAGTGAATTGTTTTGTTGTTGTGTATGCAATCAATATAGAATGAGTCCTCGCTCCAGTGTGCATTCCATTGCGTGCTTGATCATCCAGTTCGTTGTTGTTCGTTGCCTCAATTAGTTTCCTTGCTCCACACCTTTTACCTGTTTGAAGTTACACAGTCAAACTGGTCGCGGTACTACTGGGCACCTGCTCGTATCCACCCCGCCCCATTCGACGATTCTGAAAAAAGGTTTGGTAGGTCGCAAACAGCACAATGGCAACGCCACAAAAACTGGCCAATCGTTGAAATCGTTTCCAAAATCCCACTGACTCTCCGTTTGTTGGAATCACATTCACACCTTGTCCATCATTATCTACATCCGCCACGGCAATATAAAACAAACTCATGACACCGGTATGGGCTTCAGTGGCATTGTACTTGCCCACAACGCGAATTTGATCGGATGTACGCATGCGACGGGGTGGATCGAACGTGCACGTCGACATGCGATTGATATATCCCGGTTCGTTGCCAATTTGTCCCACGGATCCATTATTCGTTCCATAGTAGGGGAGTGATCGACACAGCAGCGTATTGTTTTCCGCGAGATAGGCTGTCATTTCAATTCCTCCGCGGTGCAAATGTCCGACCATGTAGACGACATCGACCCATTCTTCGCTCTGTTGTTCGGCGTTTTCAATCGATCCGGCACCAAATACTCCGTCGGAAGCACCATGCAAAGTTTGAATGGTTTCCAGTGTGTGAATGCATGCAGGAGAAGATGGGTTGGTAGTAGTATTGGAATTGCAGAGTACTGGAATGTCGTATTCGATATTGCCGGCACTGGTGAGATTGCCCGTGGCATCGCAGCATTGGGCCAAATAGAGGGGAATGATTTCTTCGTCATTACGTCGTTGCAGAGGTGTGTACGTCAATGTGTATCGTAGATAAAAGGTGGATTGGGTTTCATTGTTCAAAGTAGGAGCTCTGACTCCGGTCCGTTTGTTGGGAGTCGCCAATAACGAAGCATCCAAATAATACTGGTCGAGACAGAATTCTCCATGTTCGCAGCACAGCAATCCGCCATTGTACGTACTGGGAGAACAGGCGGTATTGCTCTGATTTTGTAGTTTGGCATTGCAGCGATCCCAATGATGACGGCGTTCCACGACGGTATTCAAGAGTGACGAATTGTACTTTGTCGTTTCCGCAGAGGATTGCCAAAACCAACGGAATTTCTTTTGGTTGGCCGGGTCAAAGCGGTCTTCTGCCGTACATGGACATTCCAAACAATGATGGGCTTGTGGGACCGTCATACTGCGGGTATTGATGACATGGACATTGGCTAAAAATTCATCTTCTCCCGCTGTTGTGGTGAAGCGGTACGGATGTGGAAATACTTGTCGCGTGCCTCGAGATTCCGTGCCCGCGCCAAACCCAATACTGCGTTGTGTTGTGGTTGTTGCGCTACTCGTCTTCTTGTGACGGTTCTGATAGTCGTGTTGACTGTAGACGACATGATGGTGCAAATAGGCATCACTGAGTGGCACCGGGATCATAGTATCGTCGTCATCCAACTCGACAATGTCCGCTGCAAATTCCGAAATGGCAATCGGCCCTTTGGGAATGGCAATGTGATGCCATGTATTCGACACTTCTCCGGGATACAACGGCAACGGTTGTGTCAACGATTCAAACGTAAACGAACCATCCTCATTTTCGCGGGTCGTCGTGACTGCAGACACACATGACACTGCTGCTAGTAGTAGTAGCAAGAGATGGCAAGTCGATAGTAGTCTCATCATCATGGTTACTTCTTATGGCTGTCCTTCTATCTATACTGTATGAGACAAGAAGAGGTGAGCAGCAGAGATCTGGTGATGGCTGTGTCGTGCGGCGGTGGGGAACAACCGGCCAGAAGATCTTTGGTGTTCTTTTCCTTGGACCGAAAACCACACGGTATTGCAGACCGTGGAAGCTCAATGCCATCATGGTCCTCACACAAAAAATGCGCATGGTGCAGAGCTGGGAAAGAGAAGGTACCCTGCGTCAATATAATATTGCAAACGACACTTGTTATGAAAGCCTCGACGAACGATGGAACGTTGGATGGATTCGAACGTACAGCAGTACGGTACGACTATTATAGCTATGTGGCTACGCTGCACAAGCATACAGTACCACTTCTCGATCGTCGCTCGACTCCACTGTTTTTTCACCCTTTCATGTCCCGCCTCCCACGTGAAGGCGCATGTACCGTACCACTCTGTTACACTAATTAATTAAAGAATTGCAGCACGTCAGGCATTCTAGAAATGCATACGTACCTCGAGGATCGAGCTTTGAGCAGCCCAGCGGATGATGATCACTCTAACTATTGCTTGCTGCCAATAGCATAGCTACACGGTCTTGATTCCTCACAATCGGTTGGATCTGATGCATTCGATTTGATTCAATCAATTGAATACATCTTTATAAGTTAGAATTCGATATAGCCTGCAGCCTCAAATCAATTATTTTGGTCTTTCTAATTAAAAATTTTTTAATAAATTCTTTTCTCTCCCGCCGCTACCGTACCGCACGGTAAACAGCCCGTGGAAGCTCAGTCGATCGTGTTACGTGCCAGAGACTTTTAAAGTTTATTCCGAAAAATGGAACAGACCGCTCCACTCGGAAGCTATCATAAAATTTTAATGGTGGAGTACGGTAACATCTATAGTTATCCAAGGTATACTACAGCTATCAAACTAAACCATGCAGTCAACAAAGCACAACAACGATGCTCGCCAAGCAGCTGAGCCGATGCCCTGTGATACTGGCCCTGGTGTGGCTGATGCAGAAAAAGGCAAACCTTCGCCGCCAACCAGAAGAACTGGGACCAGTGCACCTCGAGATCATAATGAGTCGAACCAAACACCGTCAACAAAAGAACCCCCTTCCCAAGAATTTGATGTTATCAGCAAGGCTCTCAGGATTCGTGCATCTGGTGAAGCTGGCGATGCCGAACGTCGAAAGCTACCGGTACTAGCTTTTGAACAAGAAGCAAGAGCATCAAAGGAAACATCAAGTGACAGGTCTCACAATGGTGGAAATCACCGTCGAACTACTGCAAAAAATCCAGCAGAAAAGAGAATTACGTCACCACATAGTTGTGCCACAGCCTCCCAAAACATGGAAGAAGAAACAATGGATCCTCTGGACCTAGCAAAAATTGTGGAAGCACGGCTAAAAGAATTGGATGCCAGTCCAATAAGCAAAGAAGAGCGCACGTCAAATTTTTTTGCAACAACCCAAGACTTACAGGCTGCATCAGCCACAAATGGAATGTCTGATTCCGCGGATGAAACTATGGAGCCACTCGATCTGGCCAAAATAGCGGAAACTAGGCTCGGTCTCAACAACCACCAAAGTGAAAATGCTACGACTCCAAAAGGAGGAAATTCCCAAGGTGCAAACAGCCCTCCTCCTGCACCCACATCAAATGCCAATCAACGTCCGGGAGCATATTCGGGTGCTCCGGGTACAGACCTCCAACGCGCAAACACTCTAAGATTCTCCCTAGTTGGTGCCACTGCCAATCAACCATTGGTCAGTCAGGCCAGCATGCCTAATGTCCACGAAGAAGAAGATTGGCAGGTCACTGCAGCACCAGGTAAAGAATATATTCCTATAGACTCAAACAGAGGACTTGCAGTGGCAAATTTGGTTGATGAGGATGATGACATCGCACCAGAAGATCTACCGCAGGCAAAAAGTGCCGACAATGCCATAGCCCATAGCCAAGCCCAACAGCAAGAACGTATTAAGCAGGTCAAGATTTACATTCTGCTCGGTATCATATTTATCCTGGCAGTCGCACTGATTTTGATTGTCACATTGTCAGCACGAAACAAGAGAGTGGAGACAGTCATGCCAACTCCTTCCCCAACTTCAGTCCCCACAGCTGCGCCAACTTCTTATTCAGAATACTGGCTATTGCTTTTCCCGGAATCAACGGCCTCTACGATTCTGGAGGACACAGAATCACCCCAGTCAAGAGCATTTGGATGGCTTATGGAAGAGATTGACATTCTACACAACCTTACAGAGGGGAGAGTTTTACAACGTTTTGTACTTGCTACATTCTATTTTGCTAACAGCGAAAAAGAATGGTACTTTAGTGGCAACTGGCTAAACCACAGTGTTCATGAGTGCCTTTGGCATCATGCAGGTTTGGCGCAATATTACTTCACTTTTGAAGGCAGCATTCCATTCTCATTGGATTACATCAGCCCATGTGACCAAGACCCAGCTGGGTATATAGAGGATGGTGTACTCCATCAAGGAGATGGAATCCTGAAACATTTTTGGCAGTCCTTCAATGGCCTGTCAGGATCAGGGATTCCACCAGAGCTCTACCTGCTCACTGCACTAAAGAGCTTGGCATTGGATGGATTAGATCTATCCAGCACCATCCCAGAAGGGATTTATGACCTTTCAAATTTGGAGTATCTTTCGATGGTGGAATGTGGGCTGTTTGGCTCCATTCCTGAAGCACTTGGAAGCTTGTCAAATCTTGAAGTCACCGACCTTGCGTTTAATTCTTTGACTGGAACTGTAAGTGGCAACCTGACGTATTTTGACAAGAGGGTTCTGCAATATCTGACTTTGCCAATTTCATCACTTGACTTTCTATTGTTGCCAGATTCCATCATCCCTGTATTCCCTTACAAACTCAATGAAAGGCATCCTTCTTACAGAAACTCAGCTAACAGGACCAGTATGTGCAAGTTTGTGCTGTCGTACAATTGTGGTGGCGCTGACTAACTATTTCTTATCTTGCCCAGTTCCCAACAGAACTTGGATTGTTGACTAACTTGCACAGTTTAGCACTTGACACAAGCCTTTTCACTGGGATGATTCCTACAGAGCTTGGCAGACTGACTCTCTTGAAAGAGTTACTCCTTCACAGTCTAATATTGAGTGGTTCTGTAAGTTCTTGCAGAGATGCTGTGGGAAATGCATTGGTTTGTGTGTTGAATATCACTCCATAGGACTAAATGCTTCGCTCTAAATTCGATGGCAGATCCCAAGTGAGCTTGTTTCTCTTACAGGCATGCAAGTTCTTGAATTTGATGATTCGGGTCTTACTGGGACAATTCCTGCATGGTTTGGCAACCTGACAACTATGGAAGGATTGACAGTGGAGAAGAACTCCTTCACTGGGACTGTAAGTCTGCTTAATTGTGCCGGCAGCTGTTCAATCGAATGGCGTTCTTCTAACTTGAACCATTGTTTCTTCTTTTCCTCTATAGATCCCAACAGAACTTGGCCTTCTAACAAAGATTGTTGTGTTGTGGCTTGGCGTGAATGCTTTGTCGGGCACAATCCCAAGTGAATTTGGAGCTTGCGAGCAATTGGACTCGTTTACCTTGGAAATCAATCACCTGACAGGAACCATTCCTACAGAGTTTGGACAGCTTGCTGAATTGGAGCAGCTTTGGCTGTTTGGCAATGATTTGACTGGAACAGTACCCCTGGAGCTCGCCAATGTTCCTTTCCCTGCACCTTATGGTCAAGTCTTGTTGCACGGAAATGATCTTTCTGGCATTATCCCTGAGAGCTTGTGTTCTGCCCACAACCTTACTTTTGACTGCGGCAACCTGCTCTGTGGATGTAACGCGTGTAACTGTTCTGACATTAAAACATCATCGATACTCGAGGAAGAGAATACCGATGAAGACGGTCAGCTGCCCAGCGAGGTTAACCGGACCGAGGGGAACCAAACTGTACCCTGAATTGAATGGCTGGGTGGTTGTCGTAGCGTGTAATTCATGATGATAATACTACATGTTTGCATAAATATCGTGGTTCTCCGAGTGCCAGAAGACCCTCGACCCTGAAATCTCACTTCTCGAGAGGGCAACAAAGTGGGCCGACACAAATACTTCCACGGGGGGGGGGGGGGGGTAGCCGGTCCAAGCGGTACCTGGCTAGCTATTAATAGAGGTTCGTCTGCCTGAGAGGCCATGGTTTCCCTCGTTCAATGGCTCTGCGGAGGGGTGTCTCGAGCTCTTGCTTTCAAATATTGAGCAACCAGCTAATGAGCACCCTCACTTTTGGGATGCCAGCTACCAGTTATTATAGCTACAGTATACATCATCCTTGTCCTGATCATCGTTCCTCAATCGGTTCTGGTTCAATTTCAAAGCCTTCAGGCTCATCGATCGGTGAGTTCGAAGGACTGGCATTCTCTTAAACATGAGGCAAAGACCTATGATGTTGCCAATTCACCTTTGACAGCAGCGGTACAGTGGTACAGTACTACACTGGTTCCTTAATGCTGATTATTTCTCAATGCAACAGATTTCTTCAAGATTTAACAATCGCTCTTTGTGCGTTGTGCGTGGTCAAGGAATGTCACGATCATGTTTTGTGCGTGGCCAAGGAATGAATCTCAAAAAAGAACTCCAAAGTTCACCTTTGCACCTCGCTCACACTACGCCCCAAACATGTGGCATCGTGGTACCGGTACGGCTGCACGACACTACTGATGCAATGCCTTCATTGCTTCATGGATTGTCTCACAGCAAAAATTTAATGCTCCAAATCACCATCTCCACTTGATCCAAACCAATTCTAAAAGAAGTCCTGAGTAAATTGGACCAAAAGGGCCCAGGTGCCCTGGGTGTATCCCAATACTAGCCTGTTTGATCTAGAAGCTTACTCTAGTGTCCACTATCATAATGATATCTGCTTGATTGGACTTGAGTACCACAGAAATGAATGTTGAAAGTATTGATACCAGGAAGAACGCCCCAATACTATCTCACCCCATATTAGAACTTTCTTATATCTGAGTTTAGAATGTGGTACCGATACGTGGTATTAATAGTACCGGTACCTGATACGGTACTCCTGGTACTATTAGTCAGTCCTTTGTAAAGGCTTTCAATCGTCACCTAAGAAAGGCTACAGATACAGATTTAAGAGTGAGAGGTTGCGGTGCGACTGTGTGCCTCTCCTCACTCCTCATTGCCACTGATTGTTCTGACGCAAGCAAGAGATCGTTTTGCTGTCCCAACTGTCCAACTTACGATGAAATGCGGGCATAAGATCGAGCTGCACAGAACTAACCACTGGTACTGTCATGAGAACAGAAAGTCGGTGACCAACACCTCTCCGATCTCCGATCACTTCGCCATTCTTGCACTCTACTGTCCCTGAACTACGGTTCCCACCATCGAAATGAGCAGCAGCACAACATCACAAGCAAGTGAGCAAGAACTGAAAGATGGCGACAAAGGACCAGAAGGAAGCAAGGGAAAAGGCAGATCTCGAGGCAAACGGCCTGCAAGATGATGATGCCACCAAGCAAAAGACGGGCAAGAAGGAAAGTCCGGGCGTGGCAACTTTGGATAGTAGTGCTGCTAGTAGTCGAAAACGCAACCGGCGCCGGTGCAACCGGCACGATGAAAAGCACATTGATCGCCTGGACCCTTCCCTCCGTCCAGGTGCATATTCCAAAGCCCCAGGCGTCGCCTTGAGGCGTAATGTGACCCCACAGTACAACATCACCCATGGCCTTGTCGAAGCAGGAGGTAGCACGCATACCATGGAGACGACAACAGAGAGTACCACGGAGAGTATCGGTATGTCCGAGGCCACAGATGGATTGGCACCAAGATCTCAAATGGCCCTGCGAGAATCGCTGGAGTTGCGAAAGAGAACGCTTCACTCGTTGGCTCTCAGTATCATGAGTGCGTCCTTTCAAGATGACATGGAACAACAGAAGGTTCAAGGAGAGGAGATGAAGTCTACGGATGGCACACTGACGGACACCCGATCCAGGGCTTCCCTACGAGAATCCGTAGAGCTGCGTAAGGCTACCATCGCAGCATTGGCTCCCCACATCTTGACCAAATCCTTCCAAGCGGAAAGCGAAAAAGCTGAACAACATAGGTCCAATGTCCCGAGTGCTACAGACATGGTACGAAGAGACACCTCGATTCTCGCTCAAGTCGAACCTAGTAGAAGTGACGAACACAACGAGCACGAGGAGGACCATGACTCCACGACCACAGAAGAATCGGACACGTCCATTGATGAACCAATGTCCACCCAAGTCGAAGTAAGAACAGAGCACCACCAAGACCAAGGTTCCACTCCAAGCAGAGAGCTCGTACCACCCCAGTTCATGCGAATGTCGACTCTCACCTTGTCCCTGCGCTCTGGCCTGATGAGCAACAGCGACGACTCTTCCTCGGACGACTCGTCCACAGAGCACGAAAGCGTCCCCGAAGACGAAAACATCCTGGACCTAGAGAGCCAGCTCCGGCTCTTGGATGCTACATCGCTCCCCGTGGCTGCCGAAATTGCAGACGACGAAGAAACCATTCGAGAGCGTGTGGTGCACGAACTGTTTGATGATTGCTCTGTCGCCACGGTAGTGGAAGAGAACAAGCCATTCAGCCACTGGTCATCCGTTCTGTACACAATTGTGGCTGTCATTGTCATTGTATGTGTTATAGTGGCTACTTCCATGTTGGGTCAGAGCTTTGGCAACGTTGACGATGGAACACACTTTGTTGTCAACGACACGACGAGCCCACAGGATGCTGCCCAGCAAGAGGCAGGGTTCTCCACCATTCTTGACCATTTTGTCCTGGCCAGGGTTCCAGAGACCATATGCTACGAACGAGCCCCCCTCATGGGATCAAGTACCCTCTGCTCTCCTCCGTCTTCTTCTCAAGATCCAATGCTGGGGAGCGCCGTCACAGACTTGGTGGCAGCATCCAGGCTCTGGAGTGTCCCCGAAGCTGACATTTCCATCCTCCATGCCGGCGAGGTGGATACCGACATTGCCAAGGGCAATTTCACGCTTGGCATGGCCAAACTGCTGCTCCCACATCATAATAACAGCACCCTGGTCACCATGGAACTGCAAGGATACCAAATTGCCATTGTCCTGGAACGCGCACTTCAAAAGCTGGTGGATGATTGGGAACTTCCGCAACTGCCTTCCCTTTCATCCTACAAGTTTAGAGGAGACTCGTATCCTTATGGTGCTGGAATTCGCTTCCATGTCAATATGAGTCAGCCCTTCCCTCGTCGCCTGGACCATATTCAAGTGAAGAGTCCTCGCAAGACCGGAGATCAATGGGAGCCACTCGAATATCAAGGAGTCTCCTATACTGTGGCGACGAGTTCGTACTTGGCTCGTGGAATGGACGGATATCAAGAGCTTGGGGAACAAAATGATGTCCAGCACCACACGGGTCTCAACTCACTCGATGAATTCGTGGCATATTGCCAGCACAAAGGGACTCTGGTCATGCCCGACCCAGAAGATTTCTCCACACAACTGTATATTCATGATCCAAAACTAGTATACTAGGCTCTCTAGCAAGAGAGCAGTAAGATTAACATTAGTTAGAATACAACCTACATACACACTATTCACGCAGACTGGTGGAAACAGATCCCAGTCAAAGGGAGGTAAAAGCTGATGGGTCCCATGATATACTAAACAGATTGAATCAATCAATCATCACATACATTGCCTCACATAACTAATCAATCACTCCCAATTCTTTTCCTTTGGTTTCGGGCAATCGGGACGCACAAAAGGCCGTTCCCACCGCCACACACATCATGGATGCTCCAATAAACGTCAAGGGCGCTTCGGCCGACACGACATACGGCACCAAGAATCCTCCCAAACGAGCCACGGCATTGGCGGCACTGTGTCCCGTGGATCGAATATCGGTGGTAAATATTTCCGCCGTGGACACCCAGGTAGTACAACTGGCCGCCATGTTGGCCATGCGCACTCCAAATGCCAGCACCACCATGGCCAGATATGTGTAGGTAGCATACTCTCCTTGTTCTGCTTGTTGCTGTTGTCGATGTAAGGATGTCAAGCCACACAAGAGGACCACCATGATTCCACCACTCAAAAAGCCATACGTTTGTATAGGAATCCGGCCCAGTTTTTCGACCGTGTGTATCATAAAGATGGTGGCCACAATTTCGGCGGCATTGGCCACAAAGAGGGCCCCATACTCAAAGTGATAGGTACCGGCGTTGTCTTCTTGCGTATTGTTGTTGCTACTGGCAGTACTAGAGGCAAATACCAGTGTGGTGACAATGACCCCACCATAGTACAAAAAGGCAAATCCCACCCAGGTTCCAAACAAGTAGAGTGTGGTCCGCAACCATTTGGGTCGAAACAAGTCCCAAAAATGGGCTTCTTCGGGTGCTCGTTGGGAGAGTTTGTTGTTGGTGGAGTTGTGGTCCGTATTGTGATATTCCTCGGCCAGCAGTTTGGTCCTGCCAAGGGGAAATAGTAGATTGGGATCTTTGCCATTCACAACGGCGGCGCCACGAAGTACGGCCAATGCTTGTTCCGGATCATTCTGGGTCGTGAGTAGCCACCGTGGTGACTCTGGTACCCACAGAATGCCCAGCACCATGGAAGATATGCAAGGAATGGCACAGGCAATGACAAAGAGTCTCCATCCTTCCCAATAAAATGTCGCTTCTTCATTTTCATGATTGCTAGATGATGATTCTCCCACGGTAAAGTAGGCGAGTACAACCACCAGCATGGTTCCAATGGTCCAAAAGAACCAAATGTAGAGCATGTGATGTCCTCGTTGACTGCGTGGCAAGAATTCAATCAGTGTATCAAAGGGCACCGTGCCGCCACCGACTCCAAATCCCACTCCCCAGCGACACAATATGAGCCAGTGGAACGTCGTGGCAAATCCGGTCAAGACACCCAAAAGGGCAATAATGGCTGCCGTCAATATAAAAATGGGTTTGCGGCCGTAGTGATCGGCCAATTGTCCCAAGACAAGCGATCCCAGAAGGGCCCCACAAAAGACGGACGACATGAGCAGCGATGCTTGCCATTCCAACAAATTCCATTCTGCGCGTAAGACCACCGTCAAGACACTCAGCAATAGAATTTCCAATCCATCGGCCATGACGCACAGACCGGCTGCCCACACGAGGCGGTATTGAAACGTTCCAAAACCCAATCGATCCATGGCATCGTCCATGGTCAGTGATAATATTACTATTGCATCATCTGTATCGTTAGTATCGTTGTTGGTGGTGGCAGCAGCAGAAGAGCCATAGTGGTGGCCATCGTTCGTTGTCGCCAGCAATGATTGCTCTTCGTCGTCTTTCAGTTTTGGGGACATCTTTTTATGTCTTTTGATTGGGATGCACAGGAAGCTCAGGGCCCAATATGGTACCGGTACAATTAATTGCAGACCTCTCAATGCTGTTGTTCTCACTCCCTTGCCTCGTTCGGAAACAAAGTGCCAATGGAGGTGACTGATGATTGACGTCAGATTTGCAAGCCAGTGGAGGCTGTCAAACAATCATGTTTGAGACCCTTAGACTCCCGACCCGAACAGATGAGGCAATGGCGCCTCTCTCCCTCAACCTGATCGAACGCTCCAGGAAACATCACGGATAGGAGTGTGTGTTGTGTGTGGAGTCCTTGTTCAGTCTGACTATTATAGCTCGATTGTTTTGCTGGTTGGTTGTATAGTTGTTTACTATGAATTTTGCTCTGCCAGCAAGAGCTGTAATCCAAATGCCATAATGTACCCCTTCAACTGCAAAATGGCCCACATTACAACTGCAATGTGAGGGTGCGTTGTGTCCCAATCAATACAGCCAGAACTATACTCTAGCGATCAAGCTAGCAGAGTGCCGAGGACCGTACGGGGACAACGAATTGTTGAGTGCAACGTTGTACAGGTCACAAAAGGCTATTGGGTAGCTAGGGAGAAGCAGGAGGATCACCTCGAATTAAACTAACTGTGCTCGAATAATCTCAAGGAGATTTGATTGGGACGGATGATGATGATGATTGAGGAAATGTCATATCTGCTCAACTCAACTCGAACATGCATATTGCTACCAGGTACTGTACCGTACTCTTACGGCATTACTATCAATGCGGAGGAGTAACTGGGAAAGGTACATTTCCATCGGCTTCTTGGTTGCTGTCATCATCGTCGTCATCTGGAAGTTCCGTCAAGTCAAACAAATCGTATTCCTTGGGTTCCTCCAGTACGGAATCCCCATCGACCAGCCCCCCGGATTTGATGCGCTTGGGTTGAATAGTATTATTGTATAGGAGTGTGTTGTCATTGGTTCGTTTATTGTCGTAAGGTTTGTTCATTCGAGCAAACGTCCATAGATCCGGTTTCGGTAGTACGCCCACATGGATCAATCCCACGGCCGTACAGTAGTGGATGGTAATGGTTTGTAGGAATTCTCCCGTGCCGTAGTGGGGTGCTTCAGAAGGAGCCTCTTGGACATGACTGTACGATCCTTGTCCTGACCTCAAAACCTTATTTTCCGTTATACCGCCAGCATCGACGGCTTCCACGTCCACTGTATCAGCAGGTACTTGTTCGATGGGCAGCATCTCTCCCTCCATCGCTTTCGATACGTCCACTTGGATTTCTCCCATCCAAGCATGGGTAGTGTCGTCATTTGTGTCTTGGTTTTGGATCAGTAGATTTCGTGGAGGCCGTCGAAAACAGAGTGCCTGCATCTTACTGATACCTTTTTCAATTGACAAAATCCCGCAATACTGATATCCATCTCCCAATTCACAGGCTGTATTGTAGGAAAGTTCTTGACCGTCCACAAAATAATCAAAGAGGAATACTTCATCCATAGTACCCACCACTGCTACCTGAATAAAGTATTCCACATCGGGTTCCACTTCAGTATATACCTTGCCATCTGGTCCGGAATGCTCTTTGAAGGGCTCCTTGGTCTCCGCATGGACCAATCGCACCGAATAATTGTCAATCACTACCATTGTTATTATTGTATAATACCGGTGTAGTTATCAATAGAAACAAAGAGGAAACGAAGAAAAAATAATGAGCTGAAGAAACAATTTATAAATGGCGGACTTTTACTCGTCCAACGGCTTTGGAGGCAAACAATGATCGAATATCAGCGGGAAACGCGTTTGGTAAAGCAGCAGAGCCGCGATCTTTAGGGACGCTGACTCAGCCCAAGCCAGAACGAAAGATACGACCCAATTTTCTCGATGCTAATCCACACACAATAATATAAGAGCACAAGAGACTCTCTCTCTTTCTTTCTTTCCTGAGGATATATTACATCGATCGCCTTGTTTCATCTACCTGGTACCGGTACCTACCATACTAATAGTATAGCTAGCCAGAGACGCCAACAGCCTGCACAACAATGAACTCATCCACCTCTTTTTCCACTGCCTTTGAAGACGAACTGTTCTTTGGAGTGCCACTATCGACCGATCGACGCAGTACGACTGCCACAACGTTCTTTCAATTCGAAGCATTGATTGCGGCCATTTCCATTTTATTTTTTCGAACGACCTGGAATATAAAGTCGGAACCCGTGGCATTGCGATGGTTCTTTGCCTTGATTTTGGCCGTGTTGGCATTCTCGCAAAAATCCTACGAACTCGTCAGTGCCGTCGAATTGTTTTCCTATGCCGTGCCGTGGATACTGGTTGTCGATCAGAGTGCAGTGCCATTGTGGTTATCGTCCAGATTGCCCGAAACGACGTGGCGCTTGCTCCTGATTGCCGTCAGTGGTATGGTGTCGTGTGTGCTCTGTCATGCGGTGGCATCGGGGGATTGCTTGTGGGCCGTGCAGTTGGTGACACCGACATCCGTCATCACCGCATTGTACGCGTTGATTCCCATTGAAGAATTTCGGGCCGCCTATGAGATTCTGGAACAATTTCAACCACCCGCAGTATTGCGACAACAAGTTCATCATTTATTGTTTGTCACGTTTCACATTCAATTTGGAATTGGACATTTGGGGATTGAATTCCTCACGAAAGAACAACAGCGACGCAACGAGTTGGTGCGGATGGATCAAACACACAACAATAACAATAGCGACAACAACAATACTGAAGACAATGACAAACAGAAAAAGGACAAACTCGAAAAGGCCCACAAGTTTCAACGCGGTGCTGCGCCCTTTATTTTCTTTACGGCCGTTCCCTACATGATCCAAATCATTTTCTATGGCAATATCAACAAATTCGCCTTTTCGTGTCTCCAACACGACCTCCATCGCGCCATTCGACTCCATCGACTCTTTGCCGCCGACAATCACATGCTCACCATGACACAAAACAGTCCCACCAGTCCCGAAGCGTATGCGGCATCCATGGATACCGTCGTCAGCACGACCTATGACATGTTCAATCGCAAACTGTTTTCATTGCCCAAAGTCATTTTACTGCCGGCTGTCATTTCCAAAACCCCTCAAATGATGGCGCAAATATTTCCCATTATTTTCTTGACGGATTATATCAAGGGACACATGATCAATTACATGACGACGCGCGTCGAAACGTTGCAAAAAGAAATTCAACAATTGTCTGCCGTCCGATCCAAATTGGAAGCATTTGATCTTAAAAATGCCGAATTGCTTCTGAGAAGTGGTTCGCAACAAACACGACATTTTACCCATCAACGATGGTCTGTGCTGTCCGTCCAAATACAAGCCAAAACAGTCGTATCGGATTTGATTCAACGCACCAAAGGATTCTTTGCCTGGATTCAACGCAATTTTGTCTTTTCGGTACTCGTCGATTGTGCGTTGGCGAATTTGATTGCCATTGGTAAGATTGGTGCTGCCGAAATATTTGTCTTTTCGAGAGCCATTGAAGATGCCGTTGACATGGTCCTCATGAAAAGTCGCAGTGAAGCCGAATTGGCACGGATGCGGACGGAAATTGATAAATTGCAAGAATTGGCCACGTTGTGGAATAACCCTACGAACAAACAAAACAACTGGTTGCATTGCAAATTGCCCGTCACGGAAGCCGAACGGGGGTATATCATTTTGCGACATGTGCACTATTCCCGAGGTACCGCCATGGTCCATGCGGAACATGTCGAGATTGAACCGGGAATCTATGCCCTGACGGGGGCCAATGGGAGTGGTGTGTTTTGTTGTTTTGTGTGTTCTTGCTTTGTTTTTGTGGTCGTGGCTCATTACTTGCTTGCATGCATTACGTTTCGTTCTTTGGTTTTTCCCTGTCAGGCAAGAGTACGCTCTTTCGCGTCCTCATGAGCTGCGACACCAATGACAAACCGATTGATTGTCCTCCCTCCATCGTCTTCTCGTCACCAACTGTTGCCATTGTGGAAAAGGATGATATCATCGAGGATACCATTTGCGAGGCAACTCCTGTGGCCACTGCCGAAGAAGCGGTGGACGACGAGGAGCCGCCAGTATGCCAAAACAGTAACGATGATGACACGACAACCAGCAGCAGTGAATGTCAAGTGATTGACAATGAGGAGGATCATCAGCCCGTTCCCAAACTCTCCATTACCATGCCCTCCTCGCATATTGTGGAAATCAGTCAAACCTTTTACTGGCCGCTCTACACCCGACCCATTGATTGGATCTACCAAGAACTTGTCGCCGAGACAAGGAGTGCAGAGGAACTGGAACGACGACTGCGCAAAACGGCCGAGTTGCTACAATCCATGTCCTTCTTTCAGTCTCAACAGCCCGTTGCTGTGACAACCGCAGAAGGAGGAGACGACGAGGCGGCGGCAGCAGCAGAGGAAGAGGATGACGGCATTGAAACCGTTATGCAACAGCTACAAGAAGAAAAGGAAGATTGGTTTGGAGACCTGAGTGGTGGGCAAAAGAGCAAGGTGGAGCTAGTGCGAAAAGTCTTTTTAGAGGAACGGTGTCCCGATGTGGTGCTGATCGACGAGACTTTTGCACCGCTGGATCCAACATCCAAACTGCTTGTCATGTCCAAGCTGAAAGAGTTCTGCAAAGGCAGCATTGTCATTGTGATCTATCATGCCGACATTGGACACGGACAAGAGACAGAGGGAGGAAAGACAGTGGAATGCGTCCCGAGCAGTGATTTCTTTGATCACAACATCCATCTCGAGAACCAAGTGATACAGCTACGACCGGTTTGCTAAACTCCAGCTGGAAAAGCTCCTATCCGGAAAGCTCCAATTTCGATTGCCTCGCGGATAGGAGCTCTTAGAGAAATAATTAATTTTAAAAAGCAAATTGTTATTACAACTTTGATAAGCTGGAGAGGCCAACGAAGCATAGCGAAGGTGTGCCCTATAGCTCCCCTGCAAGCAAGATATATGGAGCACGCCGAAAACCTGGAGTGACAGTCGGGACCTACTCGGTACATGTACTAGTACCTGGCCGGAACTTTGTACCTGGCCAGGTAGTGACTTGCCACAGGATACCACCTACTGGCATTGCTCGTCGATTACTTTTTGGTGGGAATGTTGAATGATCCAGTTGCTCGGTGTGCTCTTCTACTTGATGGATACATCAAAGTGTTTGCTCTGGAGGTTTATCCATCACGGAAAACATACCGCTAAATCATACGCAGGGTTACAGAAAATGCTAGAGGTGATTTCCTCAACTGAACCATCAGCTGCAACTGAAAGGTCAACAGTGATCTCTGAAAAGGGCATCTCGAAATATGTTTTTGTCAAAGAATACAAAACTGTTTGATTGGCTGCTGTCAGCGTGATCCATCCAGAGGGGAAAAAGCCATCTCCCCAGCTGTCTGAAACCACCAGTCTGTAGGTTGTGTCTCGTTCAATAGAAAGAATAAAAGAGTACAAAAAGAATTGGGTCTGAATTGCTCCAGCCGACTCTTGCAGAGTTTCCCATCCACCAGTCGCATTCATTTCCTTCTGCCAGACCCACTCAGTTTCTTCTGGGAATAAATCGGATTCTATGTTGAGTACAATCGTCCTCTCATCAGGTCCATGGAGACTCATTGGAGGGAACCTCCCTGGAAAAGAAACAAGCTCATCCAGATGATCACAGGTGGACACCAGTGTCACATTTGCTGTGCAGTCACACCACAGCGCCGAGCAGAGGTGCTCCGGGACAGTTCCGGAAAACTGATTTCCATCCAGTCTCAGCTCCACTGATTCATTCAGTTCCAGGGGAAGCATACCTGTCAAGCTATTGTTGTGCAGATAGAGCTTTTGCAGTGAAGTCATGGAACCAATTTCATTGGGGATTGTCCCAGTAAAGCGATTTCCTGACAGATCCAGCTCATCCAATGATGACAACAAATCAATCCCACTTGGCAGTGTGCCGATGATGGAATTTGAAGCCAGAGAGAGCCTCTCCAAGGTTGTAATTGACCAAATTTCTGTCGGAATTTGGCCAGATATTTCATTCGCTTGCAACCGCAAATCCGTTAATGACAACAATCCAAGCTCTGAAGGAATGGGTCCTGTAAATAGATTGTTGGTTGAATCAAAGACAGTTAGATTGACCATCATGCCAAATTCAGAAGGAATTTGCCCTGCAAACTGATTGTAGTGCAACCACATGGAATCCAATGTACTCAAGAGTGCTAGCTCTGTTGCAATTTGGCCTGTGAGTTCATTATGGGCCAAATACAACAGCGCCAGAGAAGTTAGCAGCCCAAACTCTGTGGGAAGTCGGCCTGTGAGTTGGTTCCAGTCTAAATGCAGCAGATTTAAAGTGGACAAGTGTCCTAGCTCAGGTGGAATTTGCCCTGTGAAAGCATTGTAACCAAGCCCCAATTGCATCAGATCAGTCAAGAGCCCAAGCTCTGAAGGGATCTGGCCTGACAGGTGTAAATTGTTGTGAAACCCCACCCATTCCAGAGCTGTCAAAAGTCCAAGTTCTGTAGGAATTCCACCAGACAGCGTATTATCGGCCACATGCAAACCTGTCAAGGCTGTCATTGTGTAGATTTCAATCGGCAGCAGATCATGGATTGATTGAGAAATCTTGTTCAATGCTAGAATGAGGTGGGACAAGGACGTCAACAGAGCAATTTCGGGTGGCACAACTGGTGTCAGGCCAGGAAGGTCAAGATTTTCAACCCAAAGACTTGTGAACTCTCCAAGGTGGTTGCATGGAACATCTGCAAGATCGGCAGGGTATTCTGCGTAGACACCATTATCAAAATGGGAAAATCCACTGGAGAACCACAGACATTCATCCACTGTATCATCCATCCACTTTTCTTGAATAAGTTCAAACCAATTATCTCCCTCAAAGGAGTAGTAAAAGGTAGAGAAATCTCATTAAATCCCAGCCCAATGTGCCACAAGGATGTCAACAGTATGATCTCCCGTGGAACCACAGGTGCCAGACCCGGAAGATTGAGATCTTCAATCCACAGACTTGTATACTCTCCAAGGTGGTTGCATGGAAGAGAAGCAACAGCAGCAGGGTATTCTGCATAAACACCATTATCAAAATGGGAAAACCCGCTGGAGTACCATAGGCACTCGTCCACAAAGTCATCCATCCACTTTTCTTGGATAGGTTGAAACCAATTTTCGCCCTCAAAGGAGTAGTAGAAGGTGGCCAGAGCAAAGAGTTGTGTCTTCCTCCATTCTGGCAATTTGGTGATGTTTTGGTGATCCAAAAGCCAGTCCCGTGCCCGCCACTGTGGCGTCCCAAAAGTCTGCAAACTCTCAATTGTGTTATTAGGAAGATCTTCAAGCATGTAATCAAGAACTCCAGTCGGAGCTGAGGAAGGAACTCCAGAAGGTTCCATGGAACCAAAGGCTGTTGGAGTAGCTGTTTGGATGCGGCTTGTAGAGACAGGATCCTTTCCTTTTCTTGTTCCAGCCACTGTGCCAACAACAATGGCTGCCACTATGCACAACATGACAACAAACAAAAGGAATAACTGAGCCTGTCGCCTCTTCTTTTGCTGTCTTTCCTCAACCATCTGCATATCCACCTGGCTTGCTGGTGGTATCATATGGAGCCTGAGATGCTCAGCATCCTCCACAACGAGATTTGCCACTGCTAGCTGCTGATCACTGTGGTTGTTGACGACGTTGGGTAGCACATGTGGCAAGGCATCTGTTTGAATGAGTTCAGTTTGCAATTGGTCAATATCATCTGTGTTGGTAGCTGGAGCACCAACAAGTGAGTATTGAAGGGCACTGGTGCGCTGCAAGGCTTCTCCTGGTGTTCCCATATAGGCTCCGGGTTGACGTAGCTGTGAAATCCCTTGGGGTGTTCTACGTAGCATTGTTTCTGGGACGCTTCCATTCCCAGATGCTAGTAGCTGCCCTGCTGTGGTATTTTGAGAGTTTCCTGCCCTTTCAGTGGGTCTGCTCCTGCTGATCCTTTCCAATTCGGATGCCTCATTTGTTTCTGTTGCCGTTTGCATGGGAGTGTGATCTTCTCCATCAGTACCGGCAGACCTGTTGTTGCTAAACTCTTCCAATTTGGCCACCTCAGTAATCTCTGTTGCCATTTGCATGAGGCCATGGCTAGCATCAGCTGGCACGCGGCTACTAAATTCTTCTAATTTGGCTGCTTCATTGACTTCGGTTGCCATTTGCAAAAGAGCGTGCTGCTCATCTTCTTGTGTGGGGCTTACCTTTTCCATTTGACCTTTTGTTGGCAGGAATTCTAAAGATCCATGTGATATCCGTCCATTTCTGGCATTTTGTAATACTGGTACCTCATTGGCATCTTCTGTTGATACATCCGAGATTGCTGCCACAACAGAACCATCGGGGTCAATGTTGGGCCGGACAGTATCCATATCAACAGCATCTTCGTCTCCATGGACATCACCATAATCACCACTATCATTATTTTGCTTTGGGTTCATGTTTCCGCTTTGATAACGAGCCTTGTGGCCAGACGAGGTACTAGCATACAGGTACAACAGATTGGACCTCGATCTTGGGGCCAGATGAGATAGGTACAACAGATTGGACCTCGACCTTCCTTTCGTCTGTCTCAAACTGTTGATTGCAGGACCGAAGAGACGAGCTGCCAGTTTCAAAGCTTCATAAAGGATGTCCCCCTTGCTTTTTTAGTTTTTGACGCTTCTTCTCCGACGCTGGCAATCTGGCAATCAACAAAACGTGGCGTGAACTGCAGCAAGCCCTAATTCTAATTTGAAGCGAAACTTAATAAAATCCTTCCACCTTGAACACTCTAGAAAATGTTAGATTTAAATCAATTTAAACTTTTTACTGATGGAGATTTTTCATTTAACCAGGAGTCATTTCTGGAGCAGACACTTTCTTTTCTCTGTGACAGTACATGAGCACATGTATTCCAAATCTTACATCTTCGTTACGGTAGTGTTGCAGGTGGTCGTAGAACAGTCGAACAGTCCCACACCAAGACAGCGTGGACTGTGACGTACTTGCACAGGTACGCGGGCAAGGAAGGAGGGCTGGGAGGATCAAAGATCAATGGCAAGACTAGTACAGTACCAGGCTACCGGGTACTAGTAGCTACCGGTAGCCAGCGGAAGAGATCAAGATAGAGCGGTTCGATCGTCGCGGGTGTTGAATGAAAACGAGTAAGCTCGTTGAATTGATCAAAGAGCCGATATGCCCTTTTAAAAAGTTGAAATAAGCCAGCGGAGCTGTGTAACCTCGGCAGAAAGGTTTCAGTGTAGAAGCAGATACCCCTATTAGCTAGCTAGCTAGAAGCAGATACCTCTAGTGCTTAGCTAGTGCTTAAGGAGGTACCACCAGGTCTGCACGTCAGTCGGTAGGAACCCGGAAATCTCTCGTGTTATTCTTCCTTTTATCGAGCGTTTTTTATCAACCGACCATGATCCAAAGCAGTTATATGGCTGTCGCTGCCGTTCCTTCCACCGATCACGTAGAGACCCGTGCAGTGGATGTGTGAGTTCGCAATAGCCATGGCTGTTAACTTGCGTCGGGGTAGAGAGGTGCTGGTTCTTTATACGTGTGGGAAATGTCGTGAAGGAAGGTGGCATCAGGCGGACCAGGCTCCGTACGAAGGATGTTTGCCATTGCAAGGACAATAAAGAAATCGTTTTCATGACCAAGTTCAAGCCTGACCCATATGAGAATTTTATGGTTCTTCGTCCTGAGGCAGCAAGTGAGATGGTGGCAAGAGCAGACAGGGATGAGTTTCATAATGCATCTTTTGTTGTGGTCCCAGCATCAAGAAGCTTGTCACTGACGCAATGAATCATGCCTACCTTTGTGTTGATGATGAGCCAGTTGAAGATTATCATTCGGAGGATGAAGTTGACGACAAGCCCAAAACGTGTGACTGCGTTGAGGAACATGGTCTCTTGACGTGTGGTGTGAATGAAGCCCCGCTCAGCTTGGTGGATAAGAATGATCTCCTCCATTCTTTGAAGAAATAAATCTTGAAGAAAACGAACGGGAGAGTGTACAGTCATGACTTCAAAGGCCTGACACAGTCTCACAAGCGCTGGTGCTGCTATTTCTGGTACGCAACAAACATCTTCCAGTTTGAAGTTGCATCCCCATTGCCATCTTGTGTTGTTCAACGTATTTGGTTGGTGTACCCAAACTTCAACAATGCGAAGGCCACTGGTTTCCTGTCCACTGAAGAGCGATCGCGTAAGCGAGGACGTTTCGAAGAAGATCTTTCCTCCAAAATGAAATAGGAGTGCGTTGATACCGTGTCAAGGAAGAAGTATTCGTGACGTAGCAAAAAGTTACTGTGTCGCCAGATTTGAGAGTGTTCTATAGTCCGACAGTATAATCCAATTACTTAGATGCTCAAACTATTTGTTACTCTACAATTCTATTCTTCAGAAGTAGCGATTGTTTGTTCGTGCGCACCGGCTAGCTCTTCCAGTTCCTCAGTCACGGCTTCCGAATTTTCGCCAAATCCAATACAATCTACAAGATGTAGAGTTGCAATAGCAATGTCTTGCTCGCTTATCTCTGTTTGACCGTCAGTTGAAGGCTCTGCATCCTCTCCATTCATCGGGACTGTGTCAACTCGCACATGACACATCCGCGAAAACTGGATCGCGAGTGGCCAACTTCTCCACAGCTTCCACACACTTTGCCGGTAGTATTTTTCTTTTCTTCGCTGGATTCTTTTTTGTCTTGGCAATGGCGATACCAGAGGAATACATGCGGCCGTCCTTTCGGTCTTGTTCCAGCTTTTCCTGGTACTCCTTGAGCTTCAAGTAAGTTTCCCTATTTCTTTTCTTTTTGTATTCGATGGTCCTTCGCTTGCAGTTTTTTTTTCTTCGATACTCCTCTTGTTGCCGCAAGAAATAGGCGGTTCCTTCCTCCATTTCCAACCCAAGGGCATGGAACAGTCTACTGAAGAACTCCTCCACACCCAACAGAGTGATGCCAACAGCAATGCAAACCCGGTTTTGGAGGGAGAGTGAACCGGCGTAGACTTTGTTCTTGGGTGCGAGCCAGGCTATTGTGTTGTTGAGCGATTCATTGGCGTTAGTTGTCATGTCATGGTTTGATTCATCGAGGCGTTCCATCATGGTAAATTGATTGAAAGAATCTACCAGTGATTCGTAGAGAGACTTGTCTTTATCTTGCTCCTGTACACTTTCCCACACTCACTCCTTTCCTTTTCTGACATCTCTTTACGTAAGCAGAAGTCTCCACAGAATTCATGGTTGTCGAATGTGTGTTCCAGCACGGCCTTGACAGCATCAGCCCATTGTTCTCTGGGCATGGAAGGAAGCTTTTTCAGGAAGTAGACATAGTAAGTTGTCAAACGAAGAATGTTGCCTCCAGTCATGTCGAAACTTGCTTTAACACCCTTGCCCTTCATCGCGTACAGATGGTTGCGGTATGTTTTCTTTCGGTGAGCAGGATCGGCAACAAACACTGGCTCTGGTACCGGCTAGCGAAGGTGTCCGTCTGATCTAGTCTTTGCTTTTCCCTTTTTGGTGTACCCCAGTATGGGTAGTTGTCGAGTTTGTGGCGTGTCAACCAATCTTTGTTGCTCCATTTGCAATGAGCCTTCATCGTGGAGTCATCATCGGTGCATATCTTGTCCACGGCAACATTGTACAAGTCATACAATTCCTCAACCATGATCAACAATGATTGGGACTCCATCCCACCGGAGCTTCCTTCATAATTGATGGTACACTCGTGCTCTGGTACGTCCAGCCCTCTGCTCAGATGGTATTGGCACTTGCGACAGAACTTCGATCTCTGACAAATAACACATGGTTTCCCAGTGTTTGCTCCCATAATGCTGGCATGACCAGATGGTGAGTTGTATGACCGGCCACTGCCTTTCTGATTCCATCCCATATCCATTCCACCATTGATGGTCGCTCTTTGTTCTGGCCTTTCACCCTTTCTAACAGATGCCTCCCATTCCACGAAATTTAAGTTTGTTCCACGATTACTCCTGCGAACTTCCTCCGCCAAATTGTCCACAATGATTACTGGAGAACGGGTTGGTTTTGGATGTTCCTTCCTCTTCGGCGCTCCCATGTTCAACATCGAATGGGCCCAACCAGGCCTCTTCGCAATGACGTCCACCCGGTTTCCGGAAGCTAACTTGTTGATTTCTCTCTGATAGTTGCTTGTTGCCTTGTTCTCACTGATGGCAAAACAAGGCAATATGGGTGTAACTCCTCTCCGACGGCGACTTTCTCTCAATACCTGAGTTGAATCATCTCCTCCTACCACTGCCGGAGTTACAATCTGTGGGTTGTCTGTAGAGGTTTCAGCTCCTTCCTCTTCTGAGGCAACATTCATAACTTGCCGTTGTTTACTTTTGTTGCCACAGAATTGGCCATGGTCGCCGGTTGCCAGCTAAAATAAAAAAGAATTCCAAAAAGAAAGATTCCATCTCCGGGTAAAAGTCGCTGCAAACGTCAGAGACTGACTAGGTGTGGATTGACCATGGTTCAACATTGATTTCTATTTTAGCTATCGACTATGGATTGGCCAAAACAAACTCGGGAGTAAAAGCGGGTGGTACCTCCTTAACTTGCGCTTAGCTAGCTAGAAGCAGATCCCCCTAGCTAGAAGCAGATTCCCATAGCAAGCTAGAAGCAGATACCCCTAGCTAGCTAGAATACAAGTTATATAGCTTTCGCTGGCTTTAGAGTTTTTCCTGGTAGAAGCAGATCCCCCTACTAGGATGCATGTAAATAGCTTTAGCTGGTTTTTAAAAGCACCATCCTAGCTAGGATACTTATTTAGTTTTTGCTGACTTATTTGTATTCTAACCCTACCCTTATACCTGCAGGGACCACCGTAGCAGGAAAAACAATTAAAGGGGTTGAGGGCTCTGGCAGCAAGACTGCCGAGGTAAACAACCCTTCTTCTACTTGCTTGGTTCTAGCTAGACTACATCGTACGCTGTAACAGAAAACTGGCAAGCAAAATAAATATTCTGCATGCTGCCGGTTGTATTGCCCCAGCTGAGCTCCCAGCTGTGTACCGCTGATCTGGTGCGCTGACACACTGAGCTGTCGGAACGTCGGAAACAAAGATGCTGGTCACTGGTCACACATCTTGGCCGAGCCATACTAACTCTATTATAGGGTGCTTCTCTAACAGCTGTCCGAACGTCCGAACCAAAGAACTGCATGTGTGAACAGATAAATCTTGGCGTCAAACCTTGAGAAAACTGCAAAGCCGCTACCGGTACCAGTACCGGTACATGTATCATACCGGTATGGTGGACGGCATTGCACTTTCAACAGATCTGCAGACTGCCAGAGAAGATCCGTTCAACGGCTATTCTAGCTGGATCTGGAGTCCAGTTTCATGCCGTGGGGGAGGTTCATGATCGTTGCAAACTTGGAAGCAGTGTGGTATTACGGTATGTCCGATTCCATTACTGTACCCAGGAACCAACTACTACTTCTGTGGGCGGCCCGTCGGATGCCAGCAGCAGGGAGATGGTAGCGCGTCAAGACGAGACAATAAGCAGTGGCCATGCGGTTCTGCCCTGGCCGCCTGCGGCTGATTGTCATGCCATACCCGAAAGTGCCCGTGTGGGACAACGCGGTATTACCTGCCGTCAGTTCCAAGAGCTGACGCGGTTCATCAAGCGTCTTTGTCGTACGGGGCTGTTACGGTATACGAGTACCTATAATACTACCAAGGAGGGCGAACGAATGCTCTGGACCGAGATTACCATGTTCCATGTCTGTTACAATGTCATCAAACCGGTTATGGAACACTTGGGACAAGAGTTGGCCTGGAGTACATTGGTCAATCAGGGCCGTGAGCAAATGCCCAAGATTTTCATTAGCCACAGCTGGGAAGAGCACTTTGTGGACTTTTGTTCTACCTTTCAGCATGTCAAACTGGATCGCGGATTGACTGCCACGGATGTCGTGTGGATCTGTACATTTGCCAATAATCAGTTCCGGCTGGATCTAGGAGCTCGTCTCAGCCAATCTCCCTTTTATGGAGCCCTGGAATATGTAAATCATGTGGCTTTGTTTTTGGATCATACAGCATCGGCATTGTCGAGAAGTTGGTGCAACTTTGAATTGGCCATTACCACGGACAATCCTGAGAACCGGCAAAGATGGAAGATTCGAAAAGAGATTGCCAAGGAACAAAACTGCACTGTCTTTCAAGTAGATTGGTCGGAAGTGGACATTCGAATACTACAACTAGGCAGAATGAACGATTCATCAAGACACCAACAAGAAGAAGAAGACGGCTCGGACAATAAGAGTCAGCGTCAACTGCTCCTGGTTACACCCGCCGGCATGGTGGGAACCCAAAGGGTAACATCAGGACCCGTGCTCAAGGCACTTGCTACTCTCAAGTCAGCTCGGGCAGAAGCTTTTCATGATGCGGATAGACGTCGCATCATGAATCACATTGCCTACAACTACCTTGCCGACAAGGAGGAACAATCTCCAGCCGAAGATCAGAAAACAGAATGCATTCAAGAACATGAAGGTGAACACGAATTGATTGGCTTGGAAAAACAAAATGGAAAACTGGTTCTTTCCAGTGGACTAGAAAGTTCCGACCGTCGGCGGCTTAACGGGAAACCAGACTACGTGCACGAATACAACCTTACCAGCAGAGGCGAGCAAGCAGAGAGGTTTAAGATGCTGGATGAGAGCATCTTTGTAGAGTGCAGCAAGGCACTGGAACGGCGAGGCGCACCGCCTCCCAAGGGTTTCTTTTGCCGGCATCAGAATGAAAAGAATGGCAATGGATTAACCAAAGTGGCAACCAGAGACTTTCGGAAATGGGAGAGTGGTCTGACACTTTGTCAAATCCGAAGCCTTGAGGTACTGCTGAGGGCAGCTTTCGAGCAGTCGAAGATTGTCGTCGATGGAAAAGAACTTGAGTGGAAAGATTGCACCAGCCGGCACCTTTTTTCAACCGAAGTACAAAAGGAAGCAATTGATGGAAACCATCATTGGGAGGGACTTGCTGCTGCCTTTATGCCCCAAAACGCAACGTATGCCGAATGCGTCAATCAACACCCAACGATTCCGGAATTCTATGTCATCAATTCGTGGGAAACGGCGCTTGTGGACGTCTTCAAAGCTATAGAATGGCATGCTGAAGCACTTGGACTATCAGATCGGACAATCTACTATATCCATGGCTTTAGTCTGCTCAGCGTAGAAGACGATCCTGGTGAAGCCAGACTCGGTTACACCGAAGACATTATGCCTTTCACCACGGAGGGCGTCCTCTTGCTTGCCAATGAACGCTTGAGCAAACGGTGGAGTGAGGACAGAGCAAAACAATCCTTGTGGTGCTTTTATGAGCTATGGTCTGCAGACCAGTTCGGGTTGCCTTGGGACATTGCTTGCAGCTCTGGAATTTTGGCTACCACCCGGCCCTTTGCTAACTCCAAGTGGGAAGTGGGAACCTTTAACCCGAAGATTGCCGAGAACTTGGCAAGGATGAGCTTTGACGCAGAGATGGCTTGGGCTCATTCACAAGATCGTGCTATGATTCTTGATCGCATACAATCTTCCCCCGGCGGCATTCCAAAATTCAACGAGACGGTGACGGCGCGGTTGTCAATGCGAATGCTGGCGCCCTATATGCGACACGCTGCTTACATGGACAATGGCATGGCCTCGCTGGAAGCACTCAACGAAGCTTTGAGATTGCTGGCAAAACACCGTTGCAAATTCTATCTCAATTTACTGACATTCCGGGGTGGCTTTGGGGAGAGTCCACTTCACATTTTGGCTGCGAGACGGGATCTTGGCAAACCAGGCTTCTCCGATGGTCATGCAACAATGCTGGCGCTGATACATGCTGGGTTTAACGTCAATGATCAATGCGACGAGGGCGAGACGCCCCTACATTGGGCGGCGTTTGCAGGTGCAGAATGGACGACAACATTCCTTTTGAGACACGGGGCCAACCCCATGATCGCCAGCTTCACCGGTGAGCTGCCATTGCAAGTAGCACAAGCACGTCCTGCCGAGTTTCTACACAAGGACGCGTCGCGTAGCTTGGAGATGATGTTGCAAGCCGCCATGCTTCCGTGGCAGAACAAATAAATGAATTCATGTCCAGCAGAGAAACGAAGGTCGAGAGAGCATACAATGGCAGCCGTGGATGCGATGACAAGTCCACGTTCACGTTAAAGGCGCGACAAGAAGAGAGACATAAGGGATTTTATTCGCTACAAAATATCAAAAAGCATGGAGTTTCGGTACCTCGAGCCGTGGATCACCATTCTGTGGGTTCCTAGTCCAAGGGTTCTATGTTGACCCAAAAGCTGGAGTTCATGTATGGGTCCATATTACGTTTGCTGACATGCTTCAAGCCAAACTTGGCCAAGTATTTGTTAAAGAGCTGTCCATCCCAACTTTCCTGAGCTGGGGCTTGCTGGAAGATTTCATTAGATTGTTTGCTGATAGAAAGAGAGCTTCGTTGCGTTGCCTTGCGTTGCTGAAAGCACTCATACGCAAGAATGTGGCAGTAAAGGTCGGCATCATGATCCTTCTGGTTGCTTTCCAGCTGAAGAAGCAAGTCAAAAGTCGAATGGGTGCCATCAATCTTCGACTTCTCCACTGCTGCGAAACCAAAGTAGTTCAGTTCCTTGAGCAAAAGTCTTTCTCGTGACCTGCGACAATGGCAGGTCCACTTCTTTGTCGCGCATGTACTCAAGAACAAAACGAAACGTGGTGCCATCACGGTCAATGAAAATCTCTTTGTTTGGATCTGTTTGCCAGGTATCAGAGATAAGCCGCGCTAGCATGGTCTCAGGATACTGTTCAATGAGAGCCCTTGAGACAGTGAAGTTCGTTCCGCCCACGTTCCGTTGACCGTCGCTGTAGTCGCCATGGTTCTTCGTTTCGAGGCTGTGTTTTGGGGCGAACGAGCTTGGCCGGTTGAAAAATGGGGGGAGAGGAAACGATGGAAGGCCACCATCTGTCAAGCGAATATTTCGCTACGGTATGTAGCACAGCTGTACCATCCAGCGTGGATTGGGCCGGCCAGGATACAGGGGCGCGCCTCAAACCATCTTACAGTACCTGTGATTATCTTACCCCACCTTCCTTCCAACGTGAACACCTGTAATCACCTTCAACCGCGCTGAACCGACCTCAACCGCTCGTTTTACCGCCTTTTACCGACTGTTTACCGCCTTCAACCACTCTCGACCGCTTGCCACCGCCTTCAACCACCTTAACTTGTCCGATCTTCACGTAAAATGGGTGGTTGAGGAAAAGATAAGTCATACCGAATTGGTTTGAGGCACCCCCCAGTACTTCAAGGAGTCTTCAAGGGCAGCCATCGTGGGTGACCACCTCGCCGTGGAAGAACAATCGCCCTCAAAGAGAGGGGGCAACTGGTACCAGGTTGTACAGTACCCTGCCTTACGGTACCTAGCACCGTACCGGTACCTTACCGGTACCGTGGCTAAAACGCGACGAGAGGAATGCACCTCTCGCGGTACCGGTACCGGTAAGCAAGGCGTTCAGCCATCGTGGAGATTCAACTGTCGGAAATGCGACGTTTCTCCAGCAAGCACCAAACGAGCGACGAGCCATATCAGGAAGGTGTAATAAGCTTTGCCTTTATTATTATGGAGTCGGAAAGATCCATTTCTACATGCAATATGGTTATGTACAGATCTCGAGGTATCTCTTCCCTTGGACGTCCCAAAACTGATTGACTGTTTGGCTTGACTGTAACTCTTAACCCACATCAACAACTCTCGAGCTTTACAAGTGGATATTACCTTGTTGGATCATAGCAATAGTCCGCATCTGCACGTGGGAGAATACGGGGCAGCAGTGAATAACAAAGGAATACAACCTAACCTCACGAGAAAATGGATTGAACAAAGATTATTGCATCCTGCATCATAACTTACAGTGGGTTTGTGTTGCGCCAGCACAACCAGGAACGGGGTCTTCCACATTGTCGGGTCCTCGTTGGAAACATTGGAGGTCCCCTCGACAATCGGAATCCTCTCTGCAGTCACCTTCGCATGGTCCGCATGGGTTCCCACTTTTCAGATGATGCGAGTTCGGACGAGAGAAGACAGCGACGACGAGAAGAGCGGCAAAACGAGGAAACAGGTAGCAGGTCAGCTTCCTCTGCTTCCATGACAAATTTGAAGCCACTGGGTATAAGCTTGTGAAACGTACCTGGAGCATTGCGGAACACGCAGGGATAGACTCGCTTCGCTGGGTTCGTAGACCTCCCAATAGCTGGTGCGGTGTCTCCTTGCAATGTAACATGACATGGAAATGAGTTCTTCGCGCGGTTTAGGATGATGATCTTGCGTCAGACAATCTTCAGAGTGGCTCAAGCGTGCAGGACGCAGCTCAAAACGGTTCGTTGTATCGAACCCGACCAGCTTTTGGTCCACATAGTATTCATTGCAAGGAAGCAGCCGAAATGTCCCTTTTACGATTTGGTGAACACACAAGTCGTAATCTGCTGGTTTCAAGAGACCCTGATTCTCGAGCGTAGTTCCATCCAAGCCAAGCTGGACCCACTCGAAGCGCTGCAAGGGATTTCCCGAGTCACATTCATTGATCCACAAGAAGCTTCCCGAGGTGCACGACTCCCCGGGACATTCCAAACACCACTTTCGTTCGATCCACTCCCGCTGCCAGCAGTAGGCTTCTTGCCAGTGAAGCTTCAGGTTGAAGGTCAAGGGATTTGTGGAGAAACTCTGAAGCGATCGGCCTTCCTTGTGGTCGGTGGGTTTCTCGTTTTGCTCCTCTACTAGCTTACCAACTAGTTCATTATCTTGGATTTCTCCTTCTACGAGGGGAGATCCCCGCAAGTGGGCGGCGGAATCCTTCTCATCGACCTTGAGACGTCTGTCCCCGTCCTCGGGGCAACGATCATCAATTATCCATTCAATGTATTCGGGAGGCTGCGCCAATGCCATGTGGGCCAACATGCCCAGAGCGAGAACCACCGTTGATCGTCGAAGCATTGCAGAGGTTTTGGAGATTCCAGGTCTTTAGGTTTGGAGATTATACCTGCGTCCAACTGAAAAATTGAGAAAGAGGGCACTCGGCATGCCCTGTTCCTCCCAAGATTGGTTCTCTCCAAATCGGTTCTTGTAGACGAGAAAGCTCGTCGAATTTGGTGAAGGCGAAGCAAACGCTCCCGTGGGAACCTTTTCTTCCACGTCGTGGAAATTGCACTTTTCTCGTCGTGGAATGGCACCTCGGCTCGCATTCAACGGACGCAAAAGAGCCAGTTGCTGAGACGTGGATAGGTCGAAGAAGTCGGGTGCAAGACTTTTCAAACTTTTCAAACGGGAGGCTTCCGAGTTCCGGGCTGCCACCTGCCCCTCTTCAACCACAATATCGTCGCGGTTGCATCTTTTCCATTATCCCTTGAATCCAAGCGAAACAACAACAACAACAAACAAACAACCACCATGTCCAAAACTGACGTCCGACCCCGCCCCTTAATGTTCAAGGCAGCTTGCTGCATGTGGCAGGCTTGCGACTTTGACGATGTGGCCTTGGGCTGCAAAGGCAAGAGTCAGGTTCTCTGTCTCACCCGCGAGATTTCCTGTGCGGTTGGCGAGCCCATGACGGGTTGTGGATTGGTCACCAACAAAGATAACAAGGAATGCTGCAAAATTGGCCTCCTCTGCTGCGCCTACGGGTTGAAAGAGCCCGAAACCTGTTGTAAAGCTGCCGGTCAGTTCTTCTGTCTCAAAGAAGCTGCGGCCTTGCCTCTCGATGAGGAGTATGTGGGTGAACCCGTGTTCGCTCTCTACTGTTTGAGCTGTCTCCCCGAGGTCGGCTGCTGTGTCGAGGCGCCTCGTTGCCGAGCCCTGGAGCGTCCCGTCTTCGACTACAGCCCTGTCCCGATGGAGCAGATGGACCGCGGCTTGCAGATGGAACCGTACCGTGACCACGCTGGTGAAGCTTTGCCGGTTGCTTCGGCCAGCGTCATCAAGGAGCCATTCAAGGACGAATTTTGATCACAGAAATGCGTTGTGTGGTTGGTAAATATATGATATTGAAGTTTTTTTTGACGACCACGGCATCATGAAGTAGTCACCGCGAAAGTACTTGCTCTGTATTCCGTACCATTCTGGAGCAAGCAGCATCTATACAACAGTAACTGCTAAAAATATATGAATTATGTAAAGAAAGTATCAATCCAGAAGATCTTTCACGAGCACCTGCAGACACCACAAAGTTGAACCCACAACTCAACGACATTCAAAGACTCAATCAAGGTGGGCCAGGAACCAAGAAATGATCAATTTCATACACTATACCATTGTTTGCCGCGTGCAAATCAGTGACGGTGGATCCTCCATTGAGTACGGTTGAACTGACGTTCAACGTGACAGAAATTCCATCTCCTTGCAAGGTGGTTATTGTTGCGCCATCTTTAAGATCAAAAGGCGACACAATTCCAGGGACAATATGGTAGGAAAGCAAGGACAACAGCTGTTCTTCCGAAAGGAAGGATAGGAAGAAATCGAGGGCTTCATCTCGAGGCCATCCACTGTCCATAGGCGCGAACACGGTGTAGGTACCAGGTCCCTGCAGAGTTTCTGCGAGTTGTGCCTGTGTCAGCAATTCCAAAAACGTATCATAGCCCCCGGCATTCTCCGCAGTCTCGATGAGATCTCCCAGTGGAGCTGCTATTGGGGCTTCCGTCGGGCTGCCACCCAGCAGTGCGACAGGCTCAGATACGACAATGGTAGGACTCTCGGTAGATACAGCAATGATGGGACTATCGGTGGTCTCGATTGGAGCTGCTGTCGGTGCAACTGGAATTTCCGTATCTGTTTCATCCGGGCTTGGGACGAAGGTAGTCTGGACAACCACAGCTTGCGTTTCAGAATCGTCAAAACTGGGGACGAATGTGGCTGGATCCGGATCATCAAACAAAATGGGCTTGAGAGTGTTCTGGATGAACACCACACCATCTGTATCTTTCAAGCTTGGCGCAAAGGTAGTCGGATCAGCAATGGCTGCCTCTGTTGCAGAATCATCAATGCTGGGGACGAGTGTCCCTTCTCCCGCGACCACTGGTTCTGTTTCGTCCAGGCTTGGGGCAAGCGTAGTTGGGTTGGCAGTGTCAGAATCATCAATGCTTGGTGCATTGGTCCCGTCTTGAGTAACAACAGGCTCTGTTTCCTCCAGGCTCGGGACAAATGTAGTTTGGTCTGCAACCACAGCTTCAGTTTCAGAATCATCAAAGCTGGGGACGAACGTGCCCTCATCCGCAAGTACAGGCTCTTTTGCGTCGGCAACCACAGCTTCGGTTTCAGAATCATCAATGCTTGGTGCAAAGGTCCCGTCTTGAGCAACAACAGGCTCTGTTTCCTCCAGGCTTGGGACGAATGTAGTTTGGTCAGCAACCACAGCTTCAGTTTCAGAATCGTCAAAGCTGGGGACGAATGTGCCCTCTACCGCAAGTACAGGCACTGTTACGTCGGCAACCACAGCTTCAGTTTCAGAATCGTCAAAGCTGGGGACGAATGTGCCCTCTACCGCAAGTACAGGCACTGTTACGTCGGCAACCACAGCTTCAGTTTCAGAATCGTCAAAGCTGGGGACGAATGTTGCTGGATCTGTTGCTGCATCGCCTTCAGTAGGGCTTTCCGTGGTCGGTGGACTGACAGCTTCTTCAGCATTAGTAGCAGTAGTGGCATCAGTGTCTACTTTGGGTGGTTCTTCCGTCGGGGGCTCATCCTTGGGTGTGTCTTCTGGTGGTTCGATTAAGCTAGTTTGTTCACCTGTCCCTGAATCACCACTAATCAAGGTTGGTTCAACGTCGTTAGTGTCCTCTGTAATGGTTGTATCTTCCACAACTACTTCTGAAGAGGTCAGATCCCAGGGAGCCGTCAAACTGTTGCACACACAAGGCAGCCGAGTCCAAGCATCGCCACTGTCATCACAGATGAAGTAAGCACTAGCAAGACGGCAACATCCTCCAGGACAACCATCCACAGGATCATTGAAGCATTCCATACTTCCCATTTCGGGATGTCCAACAGAAGCAATAAACTTGAGCGCTTCCTCTGAATGTTGTATGCAATTGCGTGCTTCGTCGAGTGGTGGTTCTGCCGGTACGGCAACATTTTCACTGGAGTCTACCGGTCTCAGCTTGTCACCTTGCGCAGGTTTTTGTTGCGGCTTTGGTTTGCCACTATCCTCCTGACCATCCGATACGTCTTCTAGTGTCAGGTCTTCCTGTAGCGACTCTTGATTGCCCTCACTGTCAGAATCCTTAGGTCCCGGTTTGCCACCATCACCGCTACCGTCATCACCGCCATTGGATTCCTGCACAAGTGGGATTTCTCCTTCTTCAAATGTCTCACCCTCACTATCAGCATCTTTAGGTCCCGGTTTGCCACCGCCATCTGGCTTGCCACTACCCTCCTCGCTATCGGACACGTCTTCTTGTGTCACGTCTTCCTGTAGCGATTGTTGATTGCCGCCACTATCGGAATCCTTTTGTCCTTGGTTGCCACCACCGCCACCGCCACCACTACCGGCGCCACCGCCATTGGATTCCTGCACAATCGGGATTTCTCCTTCTTCGAGTGTCTCACCATTGTTGGATGCGTCCTTCTGTTTGCCATTGTTGTCACCCTTCTGCTTGCCCCCACTGGAATCTGACACCGCTTCTTGCTGGTCTTTGGCATCAGCACCGGAGGGATCTTCCTGTGGGAGTTCTTGAGGCGACCCAACAACACTGGCGGACTCGGCAATCTCTTGGGGCTCCTCGTCCTGCTCCTCGTCTTTACCATCACTACCGGAATCCAGCAAGCTCACTTGATTTCCTTCATTCTTTTTCAGGAGTCGGTTATCCCCACGGATGCGGCTGAACTTGTTACGACGACGGACATGGCCTGCAAACGCTTCGCGGCTTGAGGAGAGCAGCGTCAAGAAGAGGAGGAAGATTAGGGAAGGAAGACGGCCTGGTTTCATCGTGGTATCCTTTTGGAACATTCCGTTTGCTATTATTGTGTATGTTGCCTCATAATATATATAACTAACTGAAGCAGCGAATGACTTGATTGGCAGTACTCACAGAGATTAGAGCACGTTATCCCACAAGCGATGCTCACTAACGGTATGATGCCTATGCTCAGCTGCTCAGCCGCAACAGAAGCGTCCAACATCCTTGATTTTGTACAGGCGGTCGGGTCGACCCGCCGCTCATACGTGCGTGGTTCGAAAATTGTACACTTTTAGTATCAAATCGCTCCCCGCTAAATATCGCTCCTCGTAGCGCCAGATTTATGGTTAGTTGGGAGGGTTGGCAGCACACCACATGTATTTACCAACCATACCGGTAGGAGCCCTACTACTAGCTAGCTACCTTACCTCTCTACTAGCTAGGTAGTAGCTAGGTAGTAGCTAGCTACTGCAGCCACAACTCCAGTGGTAGGGAGGTTTCCTCATCAAAAAGCCAACCACCCGCAGACAGCAGCTCTTTGTTTCTGTTCATGGCATACCGGTAGTTCTCCATCTCAGCGAAGCAACTGGTTAGTCGGGCAATAGCTAGCTAGCCGGGGGTGCTGTTGGTGCAGTTGGTCACTAATTCTCTATCCTATCACCTTATAGCTACACATAACACTTAGCTCGCTGCTGTCTCATCTAACTGGAACAAACAATATCCAACAGCCTCGCAACTATCTCTACGCAAAGTTTCCTTGCTTTCTTGCTTGCTTTCATTCTTCCTTAGGGCAATCAGGGTATGAGGAATCCTTCCTCCAGCTCATAGATAATGCCGTTTCCAGCAAACACACCGGGAGAAATAGCTATTCCATTGACATACGCTCCGGTGTCATCCACAGTTATTTGCAAAGGTGTTCCTTCCAGTGTGATCAGGGTGTCACCGTCGACAAGTGCTGTAACTGTGCCTGGGACCACATGATAGGATAGAAGAGTCAGCATCTGATCAGTGCCCAATTGCTCCAGAAAAAAGTCCAGGTCATCACCCTGGGCGGGAAATGCATCGTCATTGGGGGCGAACAGTGTATATTCGTCGGCTCTTTGGAGGGACACTGTCAAGCCCGTCCACTTGAGCAGAGATAAGAGTGTCTTGTATCGATTGTAGGCCAGAGCCGTGTCAATAATGTCCGACAAATCTCCTCGTTCTTCGTTTTCCGGGAACTTTGCAACCACAGATGCAGGAGGAGTTTCGATCGACACCGACACATTAGCACCAGGTGCAGATGTTTCTATTTCTGGTGCGTCTGTTTCTGGTGGATCCGTTGCTGGTGGATCCGTTTCGTCAACTTCCACTGGTGCATCTGTTGCTGGCGGCTCCGTTTCGATAACTTCCACTGGTGGATCCGTTGCTGGCGGTTCCGTTTCGGTATCTTCCATGGTGGGCGTTTCCGTCTCCACGTCTACTTCTGCCACCCCTGCAGAAGGGCCGGCGGTAGCTTCTTCTTCTAGTAAGACGCCATCGTACACCTCCGGTAGTGTGTCCCCTCCATCAGCCAGGCTGATGGACTCTCCTTCGTCGTCCATGCCGCCCATGTTGTTGTTGTTCATGAGCCTTCTGCTACGAAGAGCTGATGCCATCTTGTCGCCTGTTGTGGCTCCTCGGATCTGGCCAGACACTGGGCCTACAAGCAGCACCAATGCGGCAACTAGAAAGGATACCGGTAATCGGAGGGAGTTCGTCATGGTTGTCTTCTTTGTTTCCTTTTAGTTTCTAAGCAAACTTTCGAATTTTATGTTTTCCCATGTCTCCTGGAAGACTCCCACATTCCCAACGGCCGATTACTATTGCTTAGAATTGTACAAACCAACGACATTGAAACGTGCATGAATTATCTTTTCACACAATGGCTAGCCCCACCGATAGAGGGCTGCAAGTTGCGGTTAGAACCAGTCAAGCCTCAGTTCAACGCTCTTGGTTGCGAGAGACTAGAAGAGTGTTCCGCTTCGACAACGTACATTTCGGCTGCAACCTATTAATTAATACCAGCAGAGAGCAGCTCTTGGAGCTGCTCATCTTTCCTCTTTTTTAAAAGCGAGAGGTGCGCTGGGAGTGACATACCCAATCCCACCACCCACCATCACCATGCGCGGCCTCCCCGTCGCCCCAGTTCTTTGTGTTAATGGTATCTGCCTGGTGCTTTGTCACCGATACCGTACCAGCTCGTACGGGTAGTGTCACCCCCTCCAAAGCAATCCCAAAGCAAAACTTTGAAGACCCACTGACCGGAGAGACAAGTCAAAACATTGTAGAGCTCGGCAACGCGTCTACACCTCCCACTAACAGTAGCTAGCAGACTGGAAAGCAAGAGACCCAAAACTTGGCGATCGCAACATCTCCAAACCACAAAAACTGCTCCTGGAACCACCCGAACCCTCTAGTCGCAAGCTATATATTGACTAGCTAACAGCATTTCTTTAAAAAATACCATAGCACAGCAGCTGTTCAATCAAGACATTTTGGGGTAAAGTGTCTTAGGGTACGGGTAACCCCCTTTTACACAGGAATTAACAATCACACCGTCGATAAGGAAGCTACCCGGTCACTTTCGAGAATACACGTGGCGGATGCATTCGATCAGTTCATGGCATGGTTGATTGCTGCGGCCTATCGATTGCAGCTCCAGATACCGTTCCATAACCATCCCACACATCTCTCTCTTCTCTTCATAACAATGCCAGCTATGCTGTGCTGAGTAATAGCAGCTAGCATTGGAAGCCAACAGCGTGCAGTCGGTAACACTGCAAAGAAGAGCTACTAGGCCCTGAGAAGCTACATCGATACTGAGACTTTACTAACCATGTCATCTGAGAACGAGGAATCCGTCTCTAGAATCTCCAGGTCGGATAGGATGAGGACAACCAACACCAACTCTGCTGAGGAGATCGACAACTCCAAAAGTCAAAGTCAGCTTGACTCATCTCTGCGTCCTGGGGCATACTCCAAGGCTCCAGGACAAGAGCTACAGCGCAATGGAACCTTGGAATACAAGGCACACTTTCGTCCCAGTCACACCGACAGTATACTTGAAGGAAACAAAGAAGACGAAAGAGATAAACGGAAAGATAAGAAAAAGACCGCGACTATAGATGCTGCTTCATTGCACAATCCAGACCAACCACTTGTCTACGAAAAGATGACAGATCCGGAGAATTCCCCCCAAGAAACGCGCCTGTCACGAGGACCACAAGAGCTGCGAAAGGCAACTCTGGCGGCAACCTTGGTACCTTCCACTTATAGTATGAGTGTTCCCAGCAAGCTCTTGGCCAGTGTGAAGGAGGAAGAAAAAGACTCCTGTGTGATGGAAAAGGCTACCATGTCCGATACACATAATCGGCCGAATGCTGGTGGAGCCTATGCACCCGAAGAACGCCGCCTGTCACAAACATCACTGGAGTTGCGCAAGGCTGCGCTGTCACTGACTCTTCCTTCTATGCAAAGCTTGAATGCCAGTGTTTCCTCCTCTTCCAAGCCAATGACAATGGAAGACAAGTCCACTGATTTTGTGGCACTGAAAAAATCCATCAACGCGGAACGATCCACCGACTTTGTCTTTGGCAATCGATTTGCTTGTGACGAAGAGAATCCCTTTGTTGCCGACTTGGATGCTACAGCAGAACTGACAGAGCATGCATCCTCGTCGCTTCCTCTTGCCGCTGAAGTGGTCAAGTCTCCGCAAGCTGTGGAGGAAGAAATCCGAGAACGCGTTACCAATGAGCTGTTTGTGAGTTGCTCCTTGGCAGAAGCTGTACCAACCAAGACCAACAACAAGCGAAGTTGTTGGGGGACTGCTATTGTCGTGGCAGTGGTACTGATGATCCTTGTGATTGTGGGTGGTGTTGTGACAGGCATTGCCATTTTCGGTACAGATGATCCCGAGGATGAACAGGCTGAGAATGGTCCTGTCAGTTCTTTTCCTTCTGACGTTGTCATTACAGAAGAGAACGAGAACGGCACGTCCTTGCTGATGAGTGCAACTGCTGTTGGTGACATTGATGACGACCAAGAAAGCAACAAAGATGATGATGACTCTGTATTATCATTGTTGTCAGACAATAGCACCATTGCAGTCATTCCTGAGACTATCTGCTATGAGAGGGCACCCATGATGGGATGGAGTGCTGTTTGTGAACCTCAACCCGCAGGTAGCGCTGTGTCCAATTTGGTTGCCGCATCTCGTCTATGGAGCATACCAGAGGCCAACATCTCCATTCTCAATGCTGGTGAGGTGGAGACAGACATGTTCGAGGGAAACTACACGTTGGCCATGGCCAAAACCTTGCTTCCTTATCAGAGCAATACTCTTGTTACAATCAAGATGGATGGTGCCTACATCAAGATTGTCTTGGAACGTGGGCTTCAGCGCCTTCTTGATGATGTTGGACTCTTTTACACAGTTGGCCGATCTTTCGTGGGAGGCTCTTATCCCTATGCATCTGGCATTCGCTTTGATGTCGACATGACAAGGTCATTTCCCCAGCGCTTATCCAACATAAAAGTCTACATTGGATCACAGCCACCGCCACAGAATGTGGAAGACAATGATGAAGCCTTGTGGGGGCCCATTCAGATGCAAGGTGTCATGTACACGGTGGTGACAAACTCATACCTGGCAAATGGTGGTGACAATTATCATGAGTTTACCAGACAAGAATTCTACCGCAATGAGACACATTTGAATTCTCTCGAGGAATTTGTGGCATATTGCCAAGCCCATGAAACACTTTTGACTCCACCACAAAGCCATTTCTCAACGCAGTCCTACATTCATGACCGCAGCATTCAGTACTGCAGCTGTGCTACGGGCATCTACAATGAATCTATGGGGGTTTGAAAATGGACATGAGCAGTCTTTCCTTCGTAGCAATGCATAAATATAATGTCATGCCATGGAATCAAATGACGTTGAAAACTCTGATTGAAATGCCTTAGCAAGCTACGAAGCTTGGAAGCAACCAACAAACTAGGCACATGGGCTTCCACCCAATTGGGTGTCACTCGTTGATATCTTCCCTTCACCCCTCATCTATCTCATCCCAGCTCAGCATCTCAGGCGCAAACTATCCACTCCCTTTTGTCTCCCAAAAGACGAGATCCGAGAGCGCTCTAATTACTACATGTACGTAATAAAATAGCAGTATTTGTGCCGCACAAGAACGATGCACGCGCCAGCACAGAATGTGCACGCGTACCAGAATTGACGAACACAGTGGATCATCTCATCATCTCAGTGGTTTGATTATGGGTTCTTATCTCTTATCATTCGCGGGTACGGGTGTCGAAGTGGTCAGAAGTCAGAGACTTGATAATCTGCAGTCTCAGTAATAAGATATTATTTATATCTACAGTTTCACACGTACGTACATGTACTGGTACCGGTGCCGGTGCCGGTACCATGTGCACGTGACTAGTACCCAACGAGTAGTTGTAGCGATACCTACCTCTCTAGACTATTGAGCGCAAAAACATGGATAATTGATAATTTTAGAGAGCATCAAAATTCTTTGGAACACGCTCTGAAAAGTAAAATTTTGGCCTCTGGGAGGGAAGAAAAATATACCGCTACGATCTCAGTACAGCAAAGCTTGCTTGGACAAGAGGGACATGCGGGTAAAGCCATAGTGGCCGTAGGCAAGATATGACATATCATACAGTTGTAAGGAAACAATGTGATCAATCAGCTCAGTGAGGTTTTGTTGAGGATGGAATCTGCTGCCAAAACCTAGATGGTATGTGGTACATGTAAGGTGCCGTGCCGCCGTATTTTTAACGCAATTGAGTTGACTAGCTATTAATAGTAGCAGGAGTATGCCAAACGTACCGTAGTATCTACGATTTAATAGATGAGGGTATAAGGCAAATAGAATCTTGTCGAGCAGCCGCACGCCAAAGAAGACAAACGATCCCGATCCCTATCCATCCACGCTGACCGGCGTGGAAACCTGAACCCTCATGGGTTCTTCGATGAATGACTCGACTCACAGTTGCCAGACTGGTACCATCTCACAAAATACGAATCTACTCCCACACTTCGCTCACACACAACAAGTACATCTCTACACTCCACAGGTCATCACCTGCGTTCCTGAAATGGATACCCCACATACATGTCGATTGCCACTGCCTTTTCGCAAGATCCACTCTAAGGCAATAGCACCCCACGAAGACCGCTCACAGATAGCAACCTTGAATGAACACAACACGCAAGACCGGTCCAACTCTCTCCTTCAGCCATTGAACAGTCGATCGCAAGAAGGTTGTCTCCTTCTCTGCTCACAATTCTTCCTTCAGCCGAGCTGCAAGCTAGAACTAGAATAGATTAACCACTTGCGTCGGCATCAGGGTCTAAATCTCTTCGAAATCCTCGACCATGGCCAACGCTTTATTCTCTACTCTCGTCGACCGCGGCAACCACTGGGACGTTCATGAGTTTGACTACAACGCTCTTCTCAACCGTGTTGGTGCCAATGCTAACACTGACAGTCGGGCGTCGCAAGCCACACTGTGTGCTGCCGTCACTCGGTCACCCCTCCTCATCGCGTTCGTACTTGACGGTGATGAAGACTACATCCACGTCGGACACTCCCTGTTCACCTACCCAGCTGACTTCGAACGTGTCTCTCCGTACGACAATCTTTCCGTTGTACTCACTGGAAACGACCTCCACACCATCGCCCCTGTGATCCTTCCGAACGACAGCTTCCAGCGCGTCGCCGACACTCGTTGCAAGACCTTGGCGTATCTTGATGGCCCGGATATGTTGGGTGCCGATCCACCGAACCTTCACTCGGGTCCCCATGGGAACGGCGAGGCAGATGTGGACTCCTACCGGTCCCGTCGCCTCATGCCCATTCCGCACTACCTGACCTCACGAGTCCTCACGCAAGTGCCTACCGGGCGATACTCCATCACCCAGTTCCGAAACCTTATCCTAGGCCCGGAAATCACGCATGCTGATGCAGCCCGACAGAACGCCATTATCCCTCTCGTCCAATGGTTTCGCGCGGTCTGCACCAGTGACGCAAACGGATCCCTCCTTCGCATTACTGGAGAACATTCGCCTCTACCTGCCAATGTCATGGCCCTTCAGCGCTGCATCAATCTCGTCACTCGACCATTGCTCACCGCCCTGGGCGCTACGGGACCTGGACTGACGAACGACACCTTCAACGCCGGAGTAGCCAACATCCAAAATACCCTCGCCAACGTCAACCGAGAACAACTGGATTTCGAACGCGCTCGGGGGACCAAGACCTTCACGTCCAAATTCGGTGTCAACCTGGCCACTCGCGTCCACAACCTCTGCAACGTCGCCGCGGATGAAAACCTTCCCGAAATCCACGGACTCCTAGCAAACTGCACTAAAGGAAGCGACCGATGAGTGGAAATCCACGTGAATTCCCATTGTGGTGCGAAGCAGCTGTGCTGGTTTAGCCAGGTGGAAGAATCGCTGTGACATCTGTATACTCCAACAGTAGGGTCAGCAGTGCAGCCATCTGGCAATACAGAAATAGCTGAGGAACTCTATATACCCAAGGATGATGCAGTTCTTCAGCCAAGACCAATATAGAAAGTTAGCTTGCCAGCACCAGCCAAATGAGATGCAAGAGAGCCAAAGCTGCATGGCTGAGTGCTGTCGAGGATTTTGTGTTCAGTTGATTTTAGCATAGTTTTAAAGAAGAAGAAGTAATGAAAGGATAGTTGACCAGATACAGCCTCAGTAGCACTAGTTTCCCCACAGTTGAAGCCTTCCTGTGTGGATTGTGCCAAGGCAAAGAGTGAGTTATTCAATCATTGCTGTGGAGATTGAATAGCAGCGGCAGCCAGCTTTGTGGCTGGCCCATTCCCACTGTCAGAGGAGTGAGGCTCCAAGTAGAGCTCTCCACTCCAGCCAGCTCTTTGTGCATCTACCCTGACTGGATCTCATAGGATTAACATTGTCGCAGATTGCAGGCACAAAGAGTGGCTACAGTGTGGAAATCGAGGCAGAAGAAGAGGAGTTGCCGATCGCGACCAAGAAAATCGCGACAAGAAAATCGCGACGAGCTACGACGCAACCACTGGACCGTTCGGCGAGGTATCCACTGTTCCACCTACCAACCAAAGGGTGCTTGAGACGATACACCAGCCAGTTTCTTGTTAATCGGCTTCGTTCGGTCGGCCGACAGTGGAATAGGAACGGCACATCACCATTGTCGATCCTTTACGGAAATTCTCAGTCGTGCCTCCGGTCAAGGTACTCTGGTAAAGGGAACTGGTACTCACACGGTACTCACAAAACCGGTACCGAACCTCTGTTCCGAAAGCGCGCCGAGCCGAAGATCCGAGCCACCTCACATTTTCGATCGAAACGTGAACTCCTCAAGGGACCCGGAGAGCCTCCAAAGATACGTGACTCCGTAGGATTGATCGACAGCCTATTCCAACCACTATTCGAGAACTCGCAACACCACGAGAGCACCGTTTGGTCGTTTCGAAGGAATCCAAGGGTACCAGTGTGTCAAGCAGCCTCTGTTTAGTCATTGACTAGCAGTGCAAGACCTCAAGTCTACATTTGGATTTTTCGTGACAGTGTTTGTTCAACACCTCTACACCACCTCAGCCAGCACACAAACAGCGGTCATCATGGGTACACAGTAGAAGCAAGAGAGGAAGAAGCAGACAGGGCACACAGCACAGCGCAGCGCAAACAGCAACAGACACCACACAGGATGTGGCAAACCGTTGCACAAATACACACCGGTGCACCACCACCCCCGCAAACCACCAGGTAACGAACCCCACCTCCACTCCGTCAAGTCACCCGTGGATCCACCCTCAGTCCACCGACTACCTGTGGTTCCCCACATCTTACAACCCAGTGAATCATCTTTGCATCCTCAACCTTGCAAGCATGATACCACCATATTAGCCAACAGCATGCAACAATGTGGAGGCATTACACCAAGAAGGGGAGAACTGGAAACGCCAGGCTGCTTTTGGGCCAGGCTTTCCAACAACAACGGACATAACCAGTCTGTGTCTCATCTCTGGGTTGGCATACCTTGTTGATGAACCAACAACAACCCATTAATCGCTCAATGGGTATTGGAGGAATTCGCTTTCCTTCCAATGCATCTCTTCATTGTCACACCTATGGTTTACTGCTGGACAAGGTGTGGAAGGAACCACTGGTCTATGAGCAGTCTCAAGGCCAGTTCGAAACATTGGTTTGGGTTCAGG